AGTATCTGTATTGCCAATTAATTATTAGTCAAAGTTCGGACTAAACATAAGAAAGTAAAATACAGAGTTAAGAGTACCAGAGTAACTTACTTCATCCAGAATTTCCCTCGTAGAATTCAAGCTGAAATAGGTTCTACAGTGTATAATCACCTGAAAATCACGTAAACAATTTGAAACACAAGATATACCATAAATAGTAAGATCAACCGAAGCGACAGATCAGTACACACTATGTCTGCTGCTTATCTCAACGCAAATACGAAATGACCGGAAAGCTTCTGAGGAATGAAAGATAACTGATCCGAAATCGAGCTTGCATATTCAGAATGAAAGATATTTAAGTTGCACATTAAAAAAAATTTTCGCAACTTGAAACTAACTTGCTCCAGTGTCGCCTTCATTCCATCGGGCAACAGTAACAGCCCATCTTCCTCCAAATTTTTGAAGCTTACTTCGACATAAATATCATATAGCGGTCGCCACTCAAGCTGTATATCGTCTCGTGACAGTAATTCTTTGCGACTTGAAATGCAATAGCATATTTTTTTATATGATTAGCTTATAAAACCACAAATTGAAATTCATTCTCTAAAAAAAATTCTTCATTCTCTTGACTCTGCAAAATTACAAATCAATATGAGTTACACAAAATATGATAAGGTTATTTGAATATCATGCCATCTACACAAGAGAAAGCTGAAGGCAGCCCTTTCTTCTTAAACTGCAACGTGGTAAAAACAATTCAGAAGATTTCAACTGTACGATCCTACACTGCTCGTCATGAAATCAATTATTTTTTCTAAAAATTAATCTACAAGATAAAAATTAGGAAAACATACAACAAAAGATTTGAGACGGACTGAGCACAGATTTTCACGATTCGAAAATCGGCTCCCCTCATTGTCATGCAAGAATAGCACAGCTTCACCAGAGCGATATGGTCTGCTTTTGTGAAACGGCGAGAATATAAATTGATATACCTGAAAAATTGATACACCTGATTCAACTGTGGTATTAATTTCAGTTCATTAGTTTCACTTAATTTAGCAGAAATGTAACAGCGAAAAAACAAACCTATGGAATAGTGATTTTTCTCTTGAAAACTAACAGATAGTATGGTGTTCATCTTCGGATGTCACTAATCCTTACTCATGTATTGTACAGGTAATCTGTGATCACAGTACAAATGAAAACTGCACATTTTGAAATAAAGGAATGTAAAAATTAGAATGATAAGAACTCACTTATCCAACTCACATATCCAGTGAATGAAACCAGGTCGTATATCTCGTAGCATTACAGCGTGGACCAAACCAACCTTAATATGCCTAGAAGCATCCAAATCTCTGCTAAAAATACTGACTGCGGAGGAAGTGCCAACACAGCAACTACAGGAATAAAATAATGGAATAATTTCTACTCAAAAAACAAAAAAAGAATTTTTAATATCGTAGAAAAGAAAGCTAAACTCTGAAATAAAGTCCTACATTTCGAAATCCGTTATTATTCCTATCATTATCGTTAGCCAATGGAAATAAAATAGACATAAACTAATCGTGCATATCCCATCGCAAATTTATACATGAATTTGATGGCATTTTATATCTACATGGAACTTCTTTTCTCCCAAAACTTAAAAAAGTCAGATTGTGTCTAAAATGATGCTAAATTAGACAATACCTAAAATGGTCGTCGGCTTCTTTTTGCATCTCTTCGTAATATGGCAGATGTTTTAATTGCCAAATTTCCTTCTGAAATGGTGATGTGTTCTCCTCTTCATCTACATCCATCGCCGCTTCTTCAATTTTAAAACAAAAAAATTATTAAAATTCTTCATGATTATGCAAAATAAAAGTTTTATTTTTTCAGTCTATGAATTAAGTAGCACCAAAAAATGAACATTAACTAGGAAACAGAAAAAATATGCCTAATGACGCGAAATCATAATAAAAGTACTTATAACTCAATCATGCTTCTATTACCAAACTGATTAATATTTCTGTATTAAAAATGAAAATCACTATTACAGCAGTTGTAAATAGAAATCAGGCTTGTTTGTTCACAAACACATCGTAAGAGATCTCAATCTCATGATACTCTTTTTACCTTATCTCCCACTTCCCAAAATAATGGATTAATTTTCTTACCTGCCATAGTAAGAACAACCTCCCCTTTATTTTCCTTTTACTAACAAACGAAGTACGAAGCCAAACGTTTTACATGATAAGATATGGTCAATCTAGACTATCCGCCACAACAATACTAATAAGACTTTTGAATTTGTTTTCCTGTTTTTATCGATACAATTACGTGCCAGGAATCATTAGACTGATTACAGGTCAATACAGAATTCTTTGATAAATTACCCGCGTCAGACAAATATTGCCCATCATTATTTTCCATGTCCATTTCCACGTCACTCAAACTACTATCGTCTATTGAACCGTCGGTGCTACTGTTACACTCCGAATTGGACATCTACAGCGAATATTATTAGCGATAGAAATGAAGAATTCAAGCAGCTGCATTTCCTAGTATCATTAACATTCTTAAAAATAGAGAATGGGAGAGAATAATCTTCTTGTGTGTGAGACAATCCCACTCGAATATCAGTGGTCAATAGATATTATACTACTAGGGAGAAAAGAAAACTTATCTCCTGATGAGAGACAAGTCCTGGTCAGATATTGAAGATCAACCACAATGAGACAACTACAAGTATATCTTCTTCGTTGTATAAGTTTACATTGGAAGCAAACCGAGACATGTCGCGCCTACTATAGTAAGACAATCGATACCATCACAATATCACAAATTACGCAACTCCCCGACCAATCCTCCTACATTCTTAAAATATCCAGACGAATTAGCTGCACATTGTCCATTTTGACGCAGCCCAGCTTTGAAAACGTTAAATGCAAACGTAATCAAGTGGCATGTTTTTATCAATGATCATAATAAACAAAAACTGATCGTCGAGTAATTTTATACTGCTTGTGCCTTAAAGCTTAACTTATTAAGATACAACCTGAAAAATACAACTTATATTCCGTTCAAATTACATGCAAAGGATGTGATTTTATCTTCTATAACTCATTTTAGACGCTCTCTTTCGAAAAGTATGCGTGGTGGCATTTCCTGGAAAGAAGTAAGGAAATGAGGGGGAAGAGGAAATGACGTATAAACTTTTTTTGTATTCGATTCATAGTATTGTTTTGACCTTTTTTATTTTATATATTTAAATCCTGCTATGCATTTAAGTAACACAACACAATAATGGAATGCTAAAATAATCCTTCTCTGGTTGACCTTCAACTTAAACAAGAAGTCATCAAATGATTTCGGTTAAATACTGTTTAAAGTACGATCGAATGTATTGAAAAGCAATATGCTTAAGCAATGCCACACATTAGAGGGAGAGAGGGAACTCTTCACTCGTCTGCCATCATTTTAATGCTTTTTTTTCAAATATCTGAGATAGTATTTGAAATGAATAGATTATATGATATTATTGAATATGCATGAATGGATGTGTGGATGTTTGTGAGTAATTATTGGATTTAATTGTGGACTTTAGAATCTTATCTTCTATTGGATGGATGTTGCTCAATGAATGGATATGTTCATGTTGTTGTTGAGAACAAGGAATGTGGGATATTATAATTAGTAATTTGGTCATCCTATGGAACATTCTTTAATAGGAAATTAAAGATTACCATGAATAGTCAATGAAGGTCACGTACTTCACGAAATATTGAAGCGACTGCGATTTTTTATAATCACGTATGAAACTAATACATTCATATTTTCCGGATAGAAAGTTTAAGTGATATCAGTTGCAAAGTCTGTTCATTGGTTTCAAAGTTTTTTATACTGTTTTAACGTAATACCTTTCTAGCTAGTTTAAGCTTTTATGAGAGTGGTTTTGATATTACTTACATTTTTAAATCGTCTTAACAACATCCTCCGTTGACTTCTATCGCATTAAAAGTATTACGACAATTTATTTTCAATCTGCAAGGCAGAAATATTCGAACACAAATCAAGTCTCATAATTACATATTATCAATTAAGAGTAAAAAGTAACACATCATTCGCGGTAATTGTGAAATTCAGTTAAAACTGTTAAATTCGAGCAGTTTCTGCCTAAAGTAAATTTGCGTCTTACACATTCTTCTCATCTTAATTATGTCAACATATGGAAGCTAATACTGATTGTGCATAAGGTTTCTCGCGATTTTGTATTCTTTGCTGCGAACAATAATGTGATGCGAATATGGCAAATGCCACGCATTGACTAATTTATATTCATCATTTCCAATTTCAATTAAGTAAATTTTTCAGTAACAAAATCCCTCCGCCATCCAAACAATTATCTTCCATTACATGAAATAATTAAAGCTCGTCAGATAAACCTACTTTATGATATTCAGGCTTTTTAATATCTCTTTCAAGTTAATGATGAAAGAAACATGTCGGAGCAACAAGCAGATAATTTAAAAGAAGAAATGAATATCAGAGGATTTCAATGCTAGCTGAACTTTCGTTCATTTATTACTAATCTATACGAAGATGTCGAAAATAATTTTAAGCTACGATTCCACTCTGATTAATTAGTCGATTGCTAATGACGATTGTTTGCAGAGAACTAATAATAACATTCCAACAAAGAGTTTATGAATTTAAATATTTATTCTATTCAATAATTTGCAAAAAGTAATTCAAAAGTCAGGTAGAACTTGCAATACCGTATCATTACTCTCAGAAAATTTCAAGATTTATTTCCTAAGTTCTAATTTTTTTTTTAAAACTATCAAGTTGTTTTAACTGGAAAAAATGAAAATTGTAAGAAAGGAATGGATGACGAGAAGCAAAAGCGCTCAACAATCATAGAAATTCTCATTTCAATTTCTCTCTGATTCGGAAATTGAATTTATTCGACCATTTTGCCAATTGCAATATTCTCACCTACGGTACTATCATCCCTTCAGCACGGGAAGAAAAATAGAAATATTACAGAAAAGCAAAAGATTGTATATAAGTATTAGATTTTTTTTAATATATCAATTTTTCATCATATTTTGTTGATGAAATACTGTCAGTATTGATTGGCCAAAATGAAGGTACCCAATGCGGTTCTGTTTCCAGTTTCCTAATGACTTCCTTAAGTTCTTCCAGTGACCGATCAAGATCAACGTTTACTATTATTCGATCGAACAAATGACCGTAATGCTAGAAAAAATAAGAGTTATGCAGCATCGCAAGAAGGTTAAAATCGAAAAAAGATAGAAAACAATCAATTATTCGTCTATAATTGGCCGTTCGTCTAAATTATTCGTCTAAAATCTGCAGAGTTAAATATCTCATGAGTAATGCTTCACGCACTGTTCATAACTTCTCATTAGAATTAATTAGTATAAAATAGGCAATACTAACCTTTTCAGTGGTTTTACCTTCACTTAAGATTAATTTTAATTGTTCATCCTTGATTCCATGTTGCCCGAGAATTTCCTTCTGACGACGAAGCTGTTGCAGTGATGGCGGTGCAATGAATACTACAAAAGGCATGAATGTTGTCCTTCGTAATGCCTTCAGATTCTAAAGCACACAAAATAGGATGATTTCGAATCTCATCTATTCATTTTTTTTTTCGAATCTCATTTATTCTCTATTTCACTTATAAATCGATCATATCATCAATTATAAAAAATGGATTAGTTATAAAGCAGTTTTTTTTTCTTTCTCTTTTTTCTGGTATACATTGACAATATCAAATCGAAATTTAGTGATCTATGAGAAATTATTCATGAATTACAAAATATGAGTTTATGCTCGCTAACATGAAAGCTTGTGAGTTGATCTGGCTTTATTCTGCTGAATTTCCATACAAAGTTAAATATAAAGTCAAGACTTGCAAGGAACGAAGAGCTATAACTGATTTGTTATTTCTAATCTTATAAAGATGAAATTGGGAAAGAAGAATTTGAGGTAGATTAAGCTTTGCTACACTATTCATTGAACAAATAAGATGGACAGTAGCAAAAGCAATAACTACCTCAGCTTTAAGTGTTAGTAAACATATTTTGGCTCGATCGATGACAGCCTGAATTGAGGCCAATGAAGTACCATACAGATGTTTTTCAAACTCGCCATATTCAATGAATTTACCCGCTTTTGCATCTTCTTGAAAACTATGCTTTGTTACAAAATGATAATGTACACCATCTATTTCACCAGATTTCTTCGGCCGTGTTGTATCTGCAAGTTAATTTGCATATTTTGATTTCGGAGGTCATATATTTATCAGGTACAATCAAATAATCTGTTTGTTGACAGCAATACATGTCATAACTTTATCCTTCCTCTTTGTTCCTTTCTGCCTCCTAATTCTTTCAGATAATCCATTTCAAAATTTTTGTTTTTTTGATCATCTGCGAACCTTAATGCCTTAATATTTGGCCTCGTCTAGGAGCAGTGAAGAAGATAACTTTTGTTGGATCAAGTTTTATTTTAAACTTACGAGGTATAGCGCTGGCAAATTTATCTTTATCAAATTCAGCCAAACGTTGTCTCAATTCTAAACAGCCAACTCCTTCTGGACCACAAAGAACAAGCGGCCTTTTTCGTCCCGTTTTCGATAGATATAATGTAACTTCTTCGTATATCAGAATTTCTGAAAAAAGGCACTTTACCTTTGTTTGTTCTATGATCTCCTTGGGAGAAATAATATTACCACCTGAATCATTTTCGTCACTTAATTCATCCATCGATTTCAATTCTTCTCCTTTCTTCCATTTTCCTTTGATTAAATTTTTCCTTTTTGTACAACCGAAGAAATCTTTGCGTTTGCCATTTTCTGATTGATTTTCTCTTTCAAATTCACGTGCATACAAAGCGACTCTTCAAATAATTTTTTTTTTTTGTTGGATTATGACTTTTAGAGATAGAATCAATGGAAAATTTAAATTCAAAGAAATGCCTTAAATTTTAAATGATTCGAAAATATGATATGCCTAATACACATATAAAGTGTTATAATTTTAATGATTATGCACGGTGATAAAGTTAGTTGAATGAGTACATTAAAGTAGCAAATAAGCATATGTTATGTGTAGCATAATTTTTATCAATAAATGAGATGCTTACTGCCGTTGGAATGACATGGAAGGTATTAGGCCAGCAAGTGAACTATTCATTTCACAACCTTCACGATATGCCTGCCACCAATTTTCGTCACTCATACTAATCACATGAAGGATATCACCACGTTGAAATTTTAACGCAAGTTCCTTACAAGGAACATAAATATCATCCTGAAAGTTACGATGGAAACTTTTGCACCGTTATTAAACGCAATAATGGATTACAATTATACTCTTTTAATTTACTTTTCTTTTGAAATTAAACTTGTCATCAAAAACGAAAATAAGCTGAAACCTAATTATTTTTGTTCACTTTACAATCCACACTTTTTTAACTTAAATAACTTAAATTTTTAAAACTAATCCGTTTTAGTTATAAATTTTGAGTAACCTATAAATATATATTATCGTACTTTTCAATAATTTCAAACCGATGTTAAAAACGATAGAAAAAAAGATCTCGAGATTATCATCCTGTATAAATTAATAAGCATAAACGGATAATATTTTACAGACATGTTTTCACGTATCAAATTTTGATTATTCAATAAATAAAAATGTCTTACCTCAGGATCGTAATCGAAAAGTGCCCGAAAATGTTTAACTTGTGTCGATGATACTGTTTGAGAATTATCATTCGATTTATCTAATGATGCTATCACAAGCGATAATTCGCCCGACATCGATCTCTTAAAATTTGATTGACGTTAGATTCAAATAGATCTTTACCAAATCTATCAAACCAATAATTTGAATTAAATTTTGAAGCCAAACGCCAGTGAAGACTTTGCATGTATCATTTTATCTCCCGTTATCGATCTTTAACAACTGTCATTGTTATGTAAGTCATGTGAAGCAGTACAAAAGGCTTTTTAGACGCCATCGTCTGCGACATTAACTTTACGGTTGTTTAAACCGTTAATATCAATTGCACTTCACGCCATTCAATTGATATCAACAAACAGTAATGAAATTAATATGAAACGTGTGGAATCAGAGCCTACCAAAATATTGCAAACTTCAGTGATATTTTTGCCGCGGAGATCATTTCCGTTAGCTTCGATAAGTTCATCGCCTTCTCTCAGCAAATTTGATTTCTCAGCAATGCCACCACCCACCACACGCCCGACAATCACTCTTTCACCTTCATTTCGAATTGTTGCACCCTGTGAGAAAACACATCGATGATTAAATCTTTGAAGTGATTTTTTTTTGAGCTCTCGAAAACTTTTTATAAATGTAAAATTGCATAAGGGTATGAATGCAAATAAAACAGTCAGTGTTTGCATGATAAATGACTGCTGTATAGGAAAAATCGGTGTCTGTCTTGAATGTGTATTCTGGTAAATGATGAACGATCCAGGAGAGTGATTACGAGGAATGGTGCAGTAAGCGATACATCTAAAAACAAGAATATATCCATTCTGCATTCACCAACCCGTCATCAAATCAGGTCGCCAAAAATTAAGTTCCTGTTATCAAATATAAACTATCATAAAAAGATCTGTTTAAAAATTTGATTTCCGGGTGAAAAGAAAAACACTGACCAGATATGTGTTACTGCATTTGTTCACTTTAACAATCTTCAAGTCACCTTGAATTCGTGTTGATGGAAGCGTTTTAGAACCGCTGCAATCGTTCGTGATGGATAATAAACCTGCGGATGTGGTGGGCTTTGGTTCTGCAGCCTGAAAAGGGAGAGATTTGAGCCGCATCTCTGGTTAGTTCGGCTAACCAGTCAATGGAAATAGTTTTACAGAAATAGAGACGCTGTTAAACAGAGAGGAAATGTATGATTGAAATGAATGTATAATTGAACTGGAATCACTAAAATCGTTTTTAATCGTTGACATAAAAAATAAGTGTCCCATAAATGTTCATTGCTTGCAGTCTCTTCCTTCTTCATCACATAAACGATATTCAAGCAGTATCATTCATAAATTTGTCCAAACACATTCCGCTAATTTAAATCAAAATTTGACATGTACAGGAAAATGCATATATGTATATATAAACACTCGTAAACTTAAATGTAAATAACAAACTGCAAGATTACAGATTTAATTATTATTCTATGTTGAACGATAATACCTTATGAATGACAATATTATTTTCGATAGCTTCTTGTATAGGTTTCTGAGTGAAGAAATCACGCAATAATTTCGATTCTTCCTCGCGTCCTTCTGCTTTCTCTAAGTGTTCCACAACGCGATTCATCGATATCATTACTTGCTCGAGCGCTAAAAATTACGATGACTTTTTAAATGTATTATGAATACTTCAAAGAACATAGCTTGAATTATTTCCCAATAACTAACTAAAAGGAATCGAAATTTCTGTACTTACGAATTGGCCCAGTTTCATCCATACCAGTAATATCACAGAATGTGTCGCCAGCCACATAAGCGCTATTTGCGTAACCTGTCTCGAGTGCGTTGTCATTGGAAAGAGCATCATTTTTATACCCCGACGACTCCTTTCTACTTTTCTGATTTTCAAGAGACAGTAATTTCCTGGAACCCCGCAATGATCCTCTGAAGAGAAATTATCGATCACAAGAATGCACCAGCACTCCCTTCCATCACTCTCGCATCGTCATGAACTTCACCTCCTTATTATTGTAACTTCAGTCGGGAAAGTTATAAATTAGAAAAAATCAAAGATGATACGATCATTCTGTTGATAATTTATAGCTATGTTACATTAACCCCGTGATTAACTAAATAAACAAGACCGAATGATAAAATCTGGGGAGAGCTTGAGTTGTCAAAGTGTCACCTGAGTAATGCAGCTTCTTTCGCTCGGTGCTCATTAAGCTCTCGTCTCCTTCGCAAATCATTCTCGTAATTTTTCAACCGCTCACTTTCATTCCCATTTTCGATACACGTTGTTATCACGTTGTTATCCGAGCTCTCATTTGATATCCGATCCCATATTTGATCACTCGTTAACTAAAAAAAGCCACTCTTCTCAGGTAAATATTTGAAAATGTGAAGAAGTAATTTGTCACTTTATCGGGCTGCTATTCAGAAATCAAATTCGACGATTATCCGAAAAAAAACTGAGCTGATTACTGATAGATAAGTAGCTTGTCGAACAGATGATTGATAGAATAAAATTCCACTTTTAAGTAACTATTTTCTAGCAGATATTTTTAAATGATAGAGAGGTTGACAAGAGCTACAAGTGATATAACACTAAGAAATTTGAATAAATAACGGTAGATTTCCTGAGGAACCTTAAAATGAGGCAAAGGATGAATAAGTTTTGATAAATTAGAAAAATTTTATATAAAACCTTAAAAGGAATACTAGTCACAACTGAATACATTGAAATCTGAAGTGAAATTGCTTTAGATAGCAATTTCCGTTGCCAGAAAAAAAATGTTTTTAATAAAATATTAATGAATTCATTGACATATATAAATAAATTATGGCTGTTAAACTATTTGTAAATAAAGAGAAAAAAGAAACATTGAAGGAGAAAAAGAGGAGGGAGAGAGAAGCAGAGGAAAGAGAGAATAATTGTTATCTTCACCTCCAATAGCACATTTGACATTACATTGAAAATGTGGAAGAGAGTAATGTGCGATGATTTTCAATTTCATTTGATTTGTTATTTGAAATGAATTGGGATTTATGCAAAAAGGAATGGAACAGTAGAAAGTAATGTTGAAATGTTTACATCGTTCCGTGCATTCACAGACGCATTTACTTGCGGCGAT